AAGTGATGTACTACAGTTTTATAAAAGATATCTATATCTACAAAAAAGTCCGCGATACCATATGTCTAACTATTACAGTTATGTCAAAACAACTATATTTTCATGTTAAATTATACAAAGCTCCCCGAGTATATACAATGGGATGAGACTACTTATTAAGGAAATGAAGGAAGCCTATCAGCTGATCAACTATCTTATGTACCGAGGATATTTTGCTGCCACAAAATAAAACAACATCAAATGTAGTTTACAGGGAAGCTCTGAACTAATAAATTTATGTTTTATAGATATTATCTTTTTTACAAATAATATAATAATATTTCTAATAAAAATAAAATAATCAAAATTAAAAAAGAACCAAAAAATAAGTAAGAGCTATATATAATAATTACTATATATAAAGTAAAGTAAAGTTACAGCCTATATACGTCTCACTGCTGGGCACAGGCCTCCCCTCATTTCTGAGAGGGTTTTAGGGCAAGGAAGTGTCCGCCGCGCTGCCCCAATGCGTGTTGGCGAACTTCACATGTCTTCGAAATACTTTTTTTTCTTATTCCTCAGACATGCAGGTTTCCTCACGATGTTTTCCTTCACCGCCGAGCACGTGGTAAATCAGCACTTAAAATAATTGCAATTAACAATTTCATTGGTGCCGGCGGGGATCGAAATCGGGTTACTCGCGTTCTGTTATATTTACAGCGAGCATTAACCATCTGAGCTACAACGGCTCATATATATATATAAAAATCTGCGCAGGGTAGGATTACAGTACACGAGTGTGTACCTATGCAGGACTAATGCTTTTTGATTATGATTTCAGAGGGAAGGGAGTGAAACAGCGCTACCAAGAATTTCTCGACAGATAAACCCAATATCCGATTTAGCCTGATCCCCACCACTATAACTAGCAGTGCATTTTTTTTAATATTCTTAGCCAACACTCGACTACTATCCCACCTGGTGATAAGAGGTGATGCAGCAGAAGATAGTGAAGCGCACTGACTTATCAAAAGCCTATTCACTCTTGCTTTGAAAACGTGAACATTGTAATCCGATGGATACGAGTATAATAAATAATAGATATAATATAAGGCTAAAGAGAAAGAAGAAGTAAACAGTTAAAAATCTTTACTTCACTATAGATTGTTTCATTAACGGATAGGCCTCACTATTAGAGTATGATAAAAATAATACTGAATAAATTTTATTGTACTTATAGAGCTGTCTTCCGGATTGTTTACAATCCTTTTACCAATTTTCACAATCACCGTCAATTGTACTGTTGAAGCGTGGAGCTACTGCCGACATAATTTTGGTAATATAATTTTCAAAATTTTGTATTTCTTACATGATTTTTTTTTTTTGATTTTCCACCAAGGAGTATACCGTCCTTGACGGGAATTTATTGACATTTTTACACAGTAGGTTACATTAAATGGCTTACACTATATTTTGCAAGCTGTTATTCTCTAAGACAAGATAACTAACATCAATGCGATTTGATACATTGATTAGGTATCGGTCCATTTAATATTATCACTATTATAAAATTATTTTTCACTGAATGAAATTATTAATAACAATATAAATTTGTATAATTATTCCCAGTAGCATTACATATTTTAGAAAATTAGAAAGAGTACCAAATTAACAAAAAAAAAACGAATAGAAAAAAATACAGAATTAATATAAATATAATACAGGGTATTCTTATGTCTACTGCTTATAATTTAGTCCTTAGCTTATAATTTATTAACATTCATTAAATTTGTGCCTTATTATCAATAATATAATATGAGTCATTAAGTTGTACAGATATGATTAGCAAACGAGCATAGGTAAATGAAAGAGATTTACTTATGTTATATATACAAGAAAGGTGAGAAAATAAGATTTAATTTAAGTAAAATACAAGTTATTCCTATATCTATTGCTTAGGAGTTACACTATAGCTTATGATTTATTAACAATGATTAAAGTTAGTGTCTTATAGCCAAAATAATGTATGCAACGATTCGTGCGAACGTGATTAGCATATAAAAGAGAATTATAGAGAAGTTGTACATAGCCTTATACAGTTTTTTTTATTATTATTATTTAGGGGTATCTATATAGTTTTCTCATCTGGTTGGGTTCTATAAATATATAATTATAAATGAAAATGAAAAAATAAATATACATAAATATCAATAACATAAAATAAATATAAAAGTACATAAATAAATAAAAGCCCAACCAGATGGAGGCCCTCGGCAGGGGAGACCAAACGGCCGAGGGTTAGGGGGAAAGGGAAAGAAACCGGCGGACGATGCGGGCGGTATCGAGGAGCACCGCCTTCTGCATTTGAACCTGGAGCGGTCCGCCACGTAGTCCCAGCCGCCTCAGATGACCCGAGAGGCTGACTGGGATTAGCCCGTTTGCAGAGACGACTACAGGAATAATTTCGGTCGGCAGACCACCCCACATGTCGGTCACCTCGTGAGCCAGGTCCAGATATTTTGTTTGCTTGTCTGTTTCGGCTTTCACGAGGTTCTCGTCATACGGAATGGTAATGTCGACCAAAAATATCCTTGACTGTGCCCGGTCCATCAGCACAATATCAGGCTTATTCGCAAGAATAGTCCTGTCTGTGATGATGGCCCGGTCCCAATAGAGCCTGGCGCGATCATTTTCGAGCACGGCTTCCGGCAAGTACTTGTAGTACGGCAATTTCCGGTCCACGAGACCGTATTTCAGAGCGAGCTCCTGGTGTAGAATTCTGGCTACTAGGTTGTGCCTGTGCAAGTACTCAGAGTTAGAAAGCGCCGAACAACCAGAGATAACATGCCTAAGTGACTCACCGGGATGGCGACAAGCTCGACAGATGTCGACGGTGCCATCCTTTAGGATGTATCTCCGATAGTTGTTGGTCTTAATAACCTGATCCTGTATTGCACAGACAAAACCCTCGGTTTCCCCCGAAGAGATCACCAAAGCGTAGCCAGTGGAGGGAGGCTACTGTGTCTACGAAAGGCTCATGTAGAGCCTTGTAGAACCTCCCGTGGAGCTCCTTCTCCTTCCATGCGGTCTCTCGGTCGGAAATGCTCTGCACTGCCGGGTCTTGCCATTGCTCGTTGGCTAAGGATAGAGGGGTAAGTCCTTTATCACAAGAAATGACGTCCATATAGAATGGATCATCCGATCTCGCCAGGAAGTAATCACGGAGGCTGCACACTTCGCGATTATGCATGGTGAGCGCGCTCAAGAAGCCACGACCACCATGCTTCCGCGACAAGTACAACCTCATTACCGACGATCTCGGATGATGCATCCTATGGGACGTCATGGTAGTGCGGACTTTTCTATCCAGGGCGTTAAGTTCAGTCTGAGTCCACCTGAGTATGCCAAAGGTATACATGAGGACAGGCATGACCCAGCCGTTATATGCGTGTGCCTTATTCACACCGGACAAAAGGCTGTTAAGCACTTTGGTCAAGCGTGCATAAAACACGTCGCAAACTGACTGTTTCATACCAGTCTCATCGATACCGATGTTTTGTGACATACCCAGGTATCGGTATGTTTCAGCCTCGGAAAGGGTCCTTAAGTTGACGGGCATAGATAAGTCTACGCCCTCAGAGTTAGCAACCCTTCCCCTTTCAACATGGAGGACCGCACACTTATCCGTCCCAAGCTCCATTCCAATGGAATTGCTAAATTCACAAGTGATGTTTAGCAATTCCATAAGATGGGAGCGACTGGAGGCGAATAACTTGAGGTCATCCATATAGAAAAGGTGGGTCACTTTTGTCCCTCCTCTCCGTAGCTGAAATCCCCTCCCGGAGCCCTCCAGTAAGGTACTGAGAGGGTTCAGAGAGAGGCAGAACCAGATTGGACTCAGACAATCGCCCTGGAAGATACCCCTTCTTATCCTTATGTGGTTCTCCGCAGCCATCATCCGCTCGCCCAGATGACAAAGGATCGTACTCCACTGCCCCATACACTGCTCAAGGAAGTCTCTAACTGTACAGTCTATCTTGTACAGCTCGAGGACTCTCTTTAGCCATGTATGGGGCACCGAGTCGAATGCCTTTCTGTAGTCTATCCAGGCGGCGGAGAAGTTCCGACGGTTGCGTTTCACCACTTTGCCAATGACCGCGTCAATGAGGAGTGGTTCCTTGGTTCCACGACCACCGCCCCGACATCCATTTTGAGCGCGCGACATCACCTGATTTGAGTCCAGGTGACAAGTGATTCTCGCGCTCAAAATGGATGTTAGTGTCTTGTATATGGTCGGTAGACACGTGATGGGGCGGTATTTGCTCGGGTCTGTGGTACCCTGGTCTTTAGGAACCAAATGAGTGATCCCAGTAGTGAAGAGGCTTGGGAGCGACTTCTGGTTGAGAGCCTCTTGAAACTGTCGGGCAAGCACAGAGTGACACACCATGAACCCCTTCAGCCAGTAGTGATGCAGCCCGTCAAGCCCCGGACTTTTCCAGTTCGGGGCCCTACGGACCGCCTCAGCTACGTCATCCGGCGTTATGATGACGGGGTCCATGGGCGTAATACCCGCACACTGACTCGCCACAACTTCCGTCCAAGGGCCCTCGCTGTGGTTTACGGGCTCTGACCACAGGCCGCGCCAGAATGCTACAGTGTCGGCCTGATTCGGTGCTGGACCCGTTCCACTTACCATTGGTCGCTCCAATGATTCATAGAGCCTCTTCTGATCACTCTGGAAGAGACGATTCTGGTTGAACCGTGTCGACCTCTCGGTATATCGCCGAATCCGTTTTCCCCAAGCAGCGATTCTCTGCTTCAGATCATCTATGCGCTCCGTCAGTTTTTGCGTTATATCCGGCTGGGACAAACTGACATTTGTCCCAGCAAACGCCATCCTGACGGTGCGCACAATTCTTGGCCTGTTGTTGCCTGATCTGAAGCATATCAGTCTGCCGATGAGAGCTCTAGCCTTTGCGATACGTTCCTCAATTCTTCTTCTCCATGCTGGGATAGCGCTACTATGGCCAGTAGCGCGTCCAGCCGTGGAAACCTTGGCGCCTATGATACGGCAGACTGCCAGCGCGGCGCCAAAAAGAATTGAGTCCGTCTCGCAAAGGTCCCGGCTGGCTTCCAAATAGGTCACCAGCATTGGGTTCAGAGCCCTCACGACAGCCCGATTCCGCTTGCTTAGGGCTATGCGGGGGAAGTCGCGGTCGATTTTCGAGAGGCGTACTGCGCGTTTCCACAATCGCCTCTTCCAATGTACTCCTCATATGCTCTAATTCCAGTTCCTGGGCGACTGTTCCATCATCGTTTGAATCAACCACAACTGGGGTATTCACGGCGGCATCCACGTTTGCGGGTTGCTCTACCATTTGTGGCGCCGCATCCTCAGCCGTAGCATTCTCATCCGACGAGGGAACAGCCTCACGTCGTAGCCGTTCGAGTTCGGCGACATCAAATATATTTGAGCGCAAGATATACCGAACTCGGTCTGCCAGGTTTTGCTCTGTGACGGTTAAAGATGGCTCCAGCTCAGCAAAAAGACGATGCATCCTAGCCCGATACGCCAAACATCCAGTTTCTCCCCCTTTCGCCCCAAAATACGCCCGCAATGCGTTGCTGTTCATCTGGGTTGTCCAACGCATGCGGCGTACTCCACCAGAGGCGGGTGCCGATTGCTGGGCCCGCGAAGACCCTGCCGACACCAAGCCAGCTGGTGGGGATGATGGATGCGAGGGGCTGCTGGGTGGTCGTGCAGCACCTCGCGCTCGGCTGGCGGTTCGCATGCTGCCGCGTCCAGCGCCAGCTCCAGACGCGCCCTGGCGACCTCCAGGCAGCGGCCCTTTGCGCGTTCTTCCGTGTTCCATCATCCATAGTGGTGGGCGTCATTTAGCGGGAGACGCCCAGACCCGGCGCCGTTTCATGGTGAGGCCATGTGCACAAGCGGGCCTTTGCACCTTCAATTTTTGCCGAGGCACGGCACTAACACCTCTTGGCAAGGTGCTGACTGACTGCGCTGACGTAGCGGTTTTGTCACATAACCGTTACGGCAGTTATTATTATTATTATTATTATTATTACCAGAGTAATCTTAGATTTACATATTGTATTCTTAAGAACAAAGATAAAGTTTGAAAGGAGGAGTGATAATTATATATGTTAACTTAAATTATAAAAGTTATTAGAAAGTTTATACACAATTTATATCCTATGTATATTAGTTTAAATAATTTACAATTTATTGAATCCTTTAAGCTTATCTATGATGTAATTAATAAATGTAACGAAGGATTCAATAGCACTTTGTTTATTTGAAAGTTCCGTTACACAGTACGGTGATATACGTAGATTGCTACAAAGCATCTCGTGTCTTAGTCTATTATACTCAAATCTAGGACACTCCCTCAACAAATGAGTTAACGTTTGAGTAGTGGTATTGTCACAGGGGCAGAATGGATCGGCAGCGATTTTGAATCTATGCAGATATTCCTTGTGGTAGCCATGACCTGTTAAAGCCTGCGTTAATTGAAATGATACTTTGGTTGCTTTCCATAGTGCACAAATGTCCGTCAGTTTTGGGAGTAATTCTTTTGTGCGCGCTCCTTGTTCCGCGCTTTCATATCTTTTCTGCCAAGTTCTCCAAGTTTTTTCCCTCATAGTCCTTTTTACAAAGCTCATAGGGAACTTCGCGTAGTCAAGGGTTTTGTGTTGTGTGGCAGCGCCTTTGGCTGTCTCATCAGCAATTTCGTTACCTGCGTCGCCCGCATGGCCCTTAACCCATGAGAATATGAAATTAAGATCCACTTGAGCAGCTGTATATATTGTGTCATGAGTCTTTGCCACAATGGGGTGGGTGTTAGATCTCTTTTGGAGTGCTCTCAGTGCCGCCTGAGAGTCACTCAAGATCTGTATAACCTCCTTGCATCCCATGTGCATCCTTGTGCCCCTTTGGGGTCTTTCGTCTCCTTGCTTCAATCTCCGGTCCAAAGTCCACTCGCAAGCCTCTTTAATCGCCAAGAGTTCCGCTTGGAACACAGAGCAGCTAGTATGTAGTTTCAGCCTCTTTTTGTATATAAATTTTGAACCTTCGAAACAGACGAAAGCCGCTCCCACACCGCCATTCTCGAGCTTGCTTCCATCTGTATAGATTCGAATGGGCGCTGTTTCCTGTTCTAGATTTTCCGAATTCAGGTCTGCACACTCAATACTTATTCTTTTTGACGGATGTAATAACTCATGCACAGGTGTGGGCCTCTCATATTGTATATCCCTTGGTATTAAGTTGGTTGCCCCTTTCAGTCGAACTGTCTCAACTTCATGTACCTCCAGGACCCTGAGGTCCAAGGGCACAAATTGAGCCAGAGCGACCGCTGCCACCGTTGAGACTGTCCTAAAGGCCCTAATTGCCTTTATTGCAAATCCCCTTTGGGCCGACTCCAAGAGCTTCCTTACATATCGTTTTTTCGCCGCTTGACCCCAGATACCTGCTGCGTATGTAATTGTAGGCTCAATGACCTGTCGATAGATGGTTTGCACGTTATCGGGATGGGCTCCCCAGGTTGGTCGGGTGTAAATGCATAGTTTGTTGAAAATTCGCATGGCCTTCCCAACAACGTACTTAACATGATCAGCGAACAGAAGCTTTCGGTCAATGATCATGCCTAAGAACTTAATACTCCTTTGAAACGCTAAAGTGTGTCTCCCCATTATAAGGTGTGCTTCTTCAGCCTTACGCGTGAATGCAATGGCTTGCGTCTTAGTGGGTCCAAATGTCAATTTGACACTTTGCCCCCATTCCAATATGATTTCCAGAGCGCGATTGGTATTTGTTTGTAGGGTATTTACATCCTTTGCGGAGACGATAAGTAAAACATCATCCGCAAAGGCTTGCAAATGACATCCACTCGGAAGTTCAGCCTCAAGCAACTCGTCCAGTATCACGTTCCATAAAATGGGTCCACACGCTGAACCTTGTATGCAGCCCTTGGTGTTGTTCTTAGTAACCCGCGCTCCTGCGTATTCTAATGTAACTGTGCGGTTCGTCGTATAGCTCTCTATTAAGTGGAAGATGTTCTTGGGGCATCTTATAGCACGTAGTCTCTCGAATAGTGCGGGCCACCACGCGTTGTCAAATGCGGAGCGGATGTCTAGAGAAACGCCCAGCACCTGTTTGCCATTCTTCTTAGCCGCTTTTACGATACTGAGTGCCGTATCTATAGCTGTAATCGTGCTGGTTTGTTCCTTGAAGCCAAACTGTCGCCCGTTGAGTAGTCCCGCTTTGGTTGCGCAATATATGAGACGCTTAATGTATAATTTTTCGAGCAATTTTCCAAAGACTGGCAAGAGTCCTATAGGGCGGAAGGAGCTTAATTCGCTATAATCAGTCTTGCTTGGCTTTGGTATGATTTTAACTTCGGCTCTCTTCCACTGCTGAGGAAAGTAATGGAGCTCTAGACACCTGTTCATGATTCCCGTTATAAGTTCTGGGTAATTAATAGTAAATTGTAGGCAGATGTCAGATGTCAGACCATCAATGCCGGGTGCCTTCTTAGGATTCATCCATTTGAGATGTTCCAAAACTTCCTCGACAGCGAATGGGGGTTCATCTACTCCATCTGGCTCATTCCCGATTCTGGATCTAAGAAACTGGTGTTGGTGCGTATCATTATCTGGTGTATCATCACCGTAAAAGTGATCCAGGAGTGCTTGGGCCGTCTCCGTTTCGCTGCTGGTGTAATTGTCACCAATTTTTATGGTGGCTGGTGGCCGCTTGGGTGCAGTGTCCTTCAGAAGTCTATTCGTGAGAGTCCAAACGTTTTCTTTTGTTTGTAGTTCGCAGAACTCTCTAAAACTCCTGGAAGACTCCGCCCTCAGTTCCTCCGCATATATTGCCTTTTTATTATTTAATTCCTCTGCTAGTTGGTCTAGAGGCAGATTCCGACGTCTCATTCGGTTTAGTCTGTGGTGTAACTGGATGACTTCTTTTTTGAGGTCTGTCAGTTTTTCCGTCCACCATAACGGGCGATGCTTCGTCAGGGATCGGCCTTTCTTTGTCGGCATAGATTCTTCACACGCTTTATGAATGATCCCGCAGATGTCATCAATCAATTTCTCCAAGCCAGCTGTGTTCAGCGATCCGATGTCTCTCTCCAATATATCTGTATTGGTCATAAGCGTGTTGAGTGCATCCTTGAATATTCCCCAATTGGCCTTGTTGCTGTTGTACTTAAACGTGGAGTTGGTTATCGATGAGGAGTTTAAGGAAGAATTCTCAGTCGCAATCTCGTATTCCACCGCATTATGCTGCGATGAAGGGCAGGCGTTGAGGTTGACCTTCCACCCGATTACACGGTCAAATATGTGTCCATGGGCCAATGTGAGGTCTATTATAGAAGTCCGATCCCTGCCGTGTGTGACGGTTTCAAAGGTGGGTGAGGTGCCGACATTGCAAACGAAGAGATCATTTGCATGTGCCAGCTCTACTACCGCACATCCTCTAGGGTTATTGGTCTTACTGCCCCATAGATGGTGCCATCCATTAAAGTCACCGCCAATGATGGTATTTGGGCATCGGGAGATCTTGAGAAAATTATCTATATGCTCTAATGTGTTATTTTCGTCTGAATTCGGTTCGATATATGCGGAGGCTATGAGTATTTTATGACCGCCACTTGTGAATTGAATAACGCAAAGATTTGAGTTAGAGTATTGTGACATACCAATCACCTGACCGCAGCCTGGTTTAGTGAGTATACACGCCTTAACTCTACCTTTTCCACCAAATTGATGTATGTTGAGTCCCTGAGTTGGTCGCACCTCATTTCCTGAGCCAACATATGGCTCCGACAGCAATGCAATTTGATAGCCACCTGCCATGAAAGAAAGAATAAATTCATGTAAACTCTTTTTTGAACGATCAATGTTACACTGTATAATTTTTATATTTTTATTAATTAAATCCATAATCAATTCTGTTAATTATTCTTTCTCTCATGGCTCTCAGTTTTGGACATTCCAGTGACATGGCAGAGTGGCGGACATCCGCTTTGGTACCAAATTTATCATTATGAGATGCACAATTAGCGCATATGGCAGTACCTTGTTTGCCCTTATCAGGACATTTTTCGCCTGTGTGCTCCTTACTGGAACAGTGCGAGCATTGACTAGTTGCGGCTGTGCAGTACTTTTTAATGTGCCCAAACTGCAGACACCTGTGGCACTGCAGAAAGGGTGAGAATTCGCTGATGTGTAGTCGCTGGTAGTCAACACTGATTTTGCCCTTTTCAATGAATTTACGAAAGAGTTTGGGTGCCACAAGAAACACTGCGTTGTATAGCCCCGGGTTTTTGTTGCTACGCCTAAATCGGAGGCGCATGTCATCGTCCTCAATAAAAGCCTCTTTCAACTCTGGGTTCTGCCCCCTGACAATACCAGCTATCTCTTCAGCTGGTATATTTTTGGATATACCCTTTAGTATAATCATTGGCCGCAGTCCCTTAGCCGGCTCAACGCTTACGTGCTCAGACGATTTTAGCTTTTGTAGGGTGTCGTTACGTTGTTCGGTTGTATCAAATTCCACTCTAAGTTTGTGATTTGACACTGCCTGAACCCTAGCTGGTGCATAATTCGCTGTGCGGTACGTTATGCTCTTCTTAAACGCCTCGATTGCTTCCTGTCGTGATTTGGGGGGTTACCTCTGGGGTCACCACGATGGCCGGCTTGTTGTTAGATGTACCGCGGGCTGGTGGCATAGTGGTCACGCTGGGAAGAGAGCCCGGCCCACTGCTGGTCGCAGCGGCCTGGGCGTATGAGGCAGGCCGTGCCTGCTGTTGAAGCTGCGTGGTTATTTGGCCCTTTAGTTTGGCCATCTCGCTCCTGACACAGGCGACGATGTCAGCCTTCAAGTCGCTGTTCATGTTACTCTGGGGGGGGGGGGTTATTGGCGGGGGCACGCACTGTAGACATGCTTGTCAGTTTATGCCCACACCTTCTGATCTCCTCGGCAGCTAGGTTGATGAGTCTCTTCTTTGCGGCGGTGACTGACTTGCCGTCAGAGACCGCTTTAGTAATGCAGTCAGAAAGTTTTTGTATCGTCGTGACAAAAGTATCGATGTTGGTTATTTCCTCGACATAGGCCGGTAGGAGGGAGGGAGTGGTTTCACTAGTATGATCCTTAGAAGTAGTAGTGGCCATCTTGCTAATTAATTAGTCCAAGTTTAAAAAAATAAATAAATAAATAAAATAAAAAAAATGTTTATATCGTCATCGGAGGGGGGGGGGGGGGTTTCCACTTCGGAAAATCACTGCACTGATAGTACTATCATGTAATAATGTTTCAGAGTCTCAAAGTTCACACACACGGTAATAGTCAATTTTTACACATATGAAACTAACAACCTAGTCAAGAATTACGTAATTCTATCCAATATCTATCGGAACGAAAGTCGCGATGATAAAAAAAGAGTCAACAGCCGTGACGATCTCCGCGGTAAAAAAAGACCACTCGAGATCTTTCGATTTTTGCAACACTAAACTGATAACCTTGGTGAGTACCAAGAGTTTTAACACAAATGTTTTTTTTTTTTCCTTCACACTGTGTTCACTAAACCACCAAAGAATACTGTCGTGATGTATTGATTAGTTATATTTCATTGCGAATATTTCTGATACAACGCGTGCGGCCCCACCGAACGGCCGTGAGCGACCCGTTGGTCATTGGTTAAGTTAATTAAAAGTTCAATGTCCGGCCCTCACGTGGCATAGATGGTCATGCGCGGACGTGGAGTTAGATTTGCGAGGGCCTACAACTCGACCGCCTGAATGTAGCACGGTGACGTTCAAGTAGTGACTAAACACAGCACGGAGGCACGCGAAGCGGGCTTGATGCGTGTTATCGTAGGTCAGCGTCAAAGTTCGTTACAAATAAATTTGAAATGTTTTCGCTTATATCTTACAATTCTCTTTGTATTTCACAATTCCGATTTCACCATTGGAAAGAGCACTTTTTAACGAAAATAATGATTATAAACACATGCTATAGCAACTAAAATTTACTGCACTTTAGATTTAAAATTCACGGAGCGAAAGTAAACACGTCTTATACTCTCGGGTATCGGTCGACGGAAGTACTCTCGGGTATCGGTCGATTACATGATTAATGACAAATTTACGTTATGAAGCTATAAAGCAAATCGTACTGTATCGGCACAGCAAAAGTTTATTTACTCTTGTCTTGAATGCACCCACCTTTTAATCGGATCGATAGACAGATTTTTTATAACATTCTTCTCAAAGAATGAGTTAGAGATTTAAAAAAATATTGTAGACAAAAGGCATCTAAACTGAAATTGTGTATCTTAAACACTTAATAGGGAGAATTTATGTTACTGGACTGATTACATTTTTTTTTTCAAGAAAATGCTATTTAGTGTCTGGCATTGGCCTACGTCAGACATAGGGAACGCTAACGATATCTGTCTAGCCAAACTGTGCGCCCTCGGCATGGTGAATTAAAGCGATATAGGGGAGAGTGTAGGATAATATTTGCGAAAGTTACTATGGAATGTCATTTTACGAACAATAGAATTGGTACGAATTGCACTTAGAGCTAGTATAACCCAAAGAACAATATTGGAGTAGTAGTATTATATTATTAGTATAGTTGCAGCATGAAAGAGCCGGCTCGACCGGGGAAGGACCAAGCTCTCACAGAATACCAGCGTAAAATAGTAGCTTAATGCTGCTGTGTTTCGTATGACGAGAGCAGAGAACCGGAGACCTTTTTTTACTGGACGAGGTATTATGTCTTATTCCTCAGGGTGACAACGCATCTGCATTTTGATTTGTAATCGAGGATAGATGTAGATGTATCTGGACCACAGCAACCACTTACCATCAGGTGAACTGTGGGCTCGTTTGTCACCCTATTCTTTAAAAAAACACATAAATACAATTGAAGTACCTGTCCGTAAAATTGAAATAACTGACTTCTATTAGCTCAGGGGGAAAAATATCATTTTCGTGATATTAAAACATAAATAACAATTTTTAAAATTGTTGTCTAATTGGCCGCCGTGCAGGCAAATCTTCGAAATATCTGAATAGATTGTGATTGAACTTTACAAATAGATAGATATAAAGGCCATGAGGGATCTATGCTAGATTTTATTCGAAAAATTTAAATATTTTTTTGTATAAAACGAAATATTGATGAAATAAATGATCCTCAACTTTATCTAAATAACGCCACATTAATACATCGTACACAGACAAAGGCAGGGCGGGTCACTAACTATCAATAATGTTATCGAATAACAGAAATATTTGTGTTTAACGTAACACTAACATATTTTTTATAGAATAAGGATGTATTGTATTGTATACAAACGAACACACAGTCCACCTGATGGTAAGATGGTCGCCCGTAGACATCTAAATCTATTCTCGATTAGGAATCATAATGCAGATGTGTTGTCACCCCTGAAGACTAAGGTAGAATGCCTCGTTTTTAGTAAAAAGGCTCTCCGGTTCTCTACACTCATCATACGAAACACAGAAGCAATAAACTTCTATTTTACGCCGATATTCTGTGAGAATATGGTCCTTTCTCGGTCGGGCCAACCTATTTCTAAACGGGAGAGACCGTGAACTTTGAATTGTGAACGAGCTGATACGATGATGAACAATAGTATAAGAAAATGTCAATAAGGTAAAAGTTTCAGCAACATCGGTTCAGACTTTTATAGGAAACCTTGACACATGTTTTTATCAGATAAATCTCCTTTTTATGAATGACAAAAGTAAACCAATAAAAATAAAACTAAATATTTTCAAATATCACGAAAGAATTAACCAGCTTGATTTACAGAATTCCGAATTAAAACTCTTAAAATTCATTAGCTAAGATTCGCCTAAAAACTGAAACCCGCGTTTTTTTCGCGTTGACGCAGATTTTAGCTAATAATTTTTAACATTCAGAAATAATAGATTTCCGCAAAGTAATGCCTGATTCTCTTTAATTACCTTAAAAAATCTTGCGTCAATTCACTTTTCTTTAAAGTAATTTTCAGATTCCCGTTTAAAGGGATTTTTTACCATATAAAGGGATATATCAATTTTTTATATTGTTATTTTTGTATTTGTTCTTTAATCTAACCAAAAAAACAGTAATTCAAAAGCCTCATAACCATCCTAATTGAATCGCGTGCTCATTTAATTGCTACTGTACTGACACGTTACGTAGGACTCCATTTTGTGCATGTTCACACTAACAAATAATGTCGTTCGAAACAACTCGTACTTGCGTCAAAATGTAAACGTACATTTGATCGTCGATCTAGATAGGGTGGTGAAACGGCGGGAATTATTTCGGGATCTCTTTATTAAAACGGCTCGCTTCTGGATGACTGACTTTTCAATTCGTGTAGCTTCGATTTTTTCGATGGAGTTTCATAAATGCCTACACTCGGGAATTGTAGTCCAGTGTTTATTTTTTGAAACAACGGTGTTAATTTTATTTAGTTTTTACTTGCATTTGCAATTTCATCATGTAGGCAATGAATTTATACTTAATTGCTCATATGTTTTTATAATATTTGTATGTAATAAGTAAATGTAAAAACGTGTAATGGCCATAAGTAAGAATATATATAAGAAATAGGTTTCCTAAGAAGCGGCATTGGGAAATAAATAAGGAGATGGGCAGCAGCATATTCCTTAAAACAACTAAAATTAAAAAACTATGGCAGCCATTCACAGTTTTGTTTTACGTAGTATGAGGCTAGTTTTTAGATAGTTATATTATACAGCCTCTGGATACCGATATATAATAAAATTGAAATGTATAGAAACCATATAATTGCTACTTATAGGTTACGTTCTGTGCCACTACTCCAATAAAAAAATTGTATTTTTGATGAAAAAAGTAGATTGGGCCAACTGCAATGTTTATCACATTATAGAAGATGTCCAACATATGCTTGTAGAATGTGTCAAATACAAAAGGGAAAGGGATTTGGTGCAAAAAATTAATATTAATTTGTGTGAAACGGTCTGGTTTTAAAGTATACTGGCGGATCCGAAGGTAGAAAAATCATTAATTTCATATTGATTCCCCTACTTTCTAAATCCCTACTTAGGATTTTTGTAACAGAAACAAGGTATGTTACGATATGGCTGACTGATATATATATATATATATATATATATATATATATATATATATATATATAGGACTTTACATAGGCTGTAGTGATAATAGTAATAAGTAAAATAATTTAACTCAATCACATGAAAATTGAATACTTTTCTACCGAATTCAAAAAAGTAGTAAGTTCTCATTGCGTAGGTTTAAGTAAGTAGGCGATAAGTCTTCACCACATTGTTTTATCAAGATCTGAAAACGGGGTCCATTCGAAAACTTCAAACTTTTTTAATTGTAAAGGCACGTCATAATATTGGCTACCACCACGATGTCAACTTATTTTAAAGCTTATATTAATTTTTAGAAGCTTTTATTTAAACTACACTCGTATTTATGTCCTGGAGTTTCGCAATCAATATTTCACCCCTTTCACTGAAGCTATTAGGCTAAAATTTGGAACACATGTTTGGTTTTTGAGACAATACACTATTACTTAAATGCTGCCACTTTTAATCCAATATGGCGGACTGCAAAATAATACGAATAAAATGATATCCGCCTTCAGCTTCGAGAAGATGGTGTACTACTGCCCGGGTAAAAGCTACAGTTAAGCGGGGTCTTGTCTTAACTATTATCTACTTTTTTAACATGGGGATATCACATACCCGCCTCGCGGTGGGCAAAGACGGGCTATACCTTCTTCACATATTGGCAAGGCCACGGAAACGCTTTTGCATACATCCGCGGCCCCACCAGCACCGGGCGCCCCATAACGGCGCGACGCTTTGAATGAAATAAACAGATTTAGAAACATATCCAGCGAAAACTAAAAAAATTGAAAGTAAATTATTTTTTTTAACAAGCTTTTAAATACTCTATAAATAGGAAAATAAACTTTCAATTAAATCAAAGCAATCAATTTGTTACATTAGACACTTTATATGATATAAAAGCTTGTCGCGAGATTTACTTGTGTACATAAAAAACAATATGTAACTTGTAACTAATATGTAACTTGATACTGATATAAGTAGGTAATTCTAACAAAAAT